TGAAGAAAGCTGAGCACCAAAGAATTGATGCTTTTGAAATGTGGTGTTGGAGAAGACTCTTGAGAGTCCCTTGGACTGCAAGGAGATCCAACCAGTCCATCCTAAAGGAGATCAGTCCTGGGTGTTCATTGGAAAGACTGATGTTGAAGCTGAAACTCCAGTACTTTGGCCACCTCATGCAAAGAGTTGACTCGTTGGAAAAGACCCTGATGCTGGGAGGGATTGGGGGCAGGAGGAGAAGAGGACGACAGAGGATGAGATGGCTGGATGGCATCACTGACTCGATGGGCATGAGTTTGAATAAACTCTGGGAGTTGCTGATGGACAGGGAGGCCTGGCATGCTGCGATTCATGGGGTTGCCTAGTCCAACACGATTGAGCGACTGAACTGAACTAAACTGACTAAAGCTAGATGCCCATTTTTTAGTATTCCCTCATTACTTTGGTTGCAGACAGTGCTTTGAAGTTTACTTCAGGATCACTTAATCTCAGATTTTAAAGTCTGTAGGGTTTCCACAGCTATATCAGTTCAATTATATGAGAAATACCTGCAGTCAGATCTTCAAACTAATCTTGCTTCCTAAGTAATTTGTTATAGTTACCTTGACCAGGTGGGACGCCTCTTTCAAAGCAGGTGCTTCTCAAAAGTATATTCAAATAAGCTGCTCTGAGGACAGTGGCCAAAATTATGAGGTGGATTAGCTCAGTCATTCCTGGGATTACTCCTAAACCCTTTAGAGTAAAATGGGAAGGGTTCTTTCAATTCTATAGAAACGGTGTTCTACAAAAGCATTTACAAATTGTACTGTCAAAGTCCTCAGTCGTGATCCACTCTTTGTGACCCCATGGACTGTAGCCCCCGAGGCTATGTCCATGGGAATTCTCCAGACAAGAATATGAAGTGGGTTGCCATGTCCTCCTGCAGGGGATTTTCCCAACCCAGGGATCGAACCCAGGTCTCCCGCATTGAGGGCTGATTCTTTACCAGCTGAGCCACCAGGGAAGCCCAAGAATACTGGAGTGGATCGCCTGTCCCTTCTCCAGGGGATCTTCCCGACCCAGGGATGGAACCCAGGTCTTCAGCATTGAGGGCTGATTCTTTACCAGCTGAGCCACCAGGGAAGCCCAAGAATACTGGAGTGGATCGCCTGTCCCTTCTCCAGGGGATCTTCCCGACCCAGGAATCAAACCAGGGTCTCCTGCATTGCAGGTGGATTCTTTACCAACTGAGCTACTGGAGACGTCCTACAAATGGTACTACTTTAGCCTGAAAAGATGAATACGATTTCCAGAAGTACCTCTTTACCCAGGAAGATTTCTCACCTCCACTGTATTAAACTAAAGGACCGCTGAGATTTCAAAGATTCTGTTATGTCTACACCCTGTATTTTTTTCATGAGACCACTAGGACTATAAGAAATATTAGTTTGACAGTTTGTTTTATAAAAAGTTTCTGTGTCTTTTTCTTTCATTTTAACCTAGATGCTTAAAGCTGAGTTAGGTTATTATTATACTGATAGGCAGCCAGAAAGCTAAAATAGATAGAAACTAGCAAAAAAGAAACAGAAAAATCAGTTCCTAAAAAGTGTGAGTCTACGATGTTAGTTCCTCTTTCTCATTCAAATACCTTAAATGTAGATATTCCCCAGAGTGCTGGCACCTTCCTTGTCTCGTTAAATCAGAATCCATTTTGCTCTTTTCTATTTACAAAATT